ACCCCAAATATTTAGAAGCTAAGGTACTTGAGAGGATGGATGTCGAGGCTATGATTCACGAAAAGCTGGCAAAGCTGGATAGATCCAAACATGAAGACGAGGATTGGGTTGAGGAACAGGTAGATAAGTATATTCAAGAATGGAAGAGGTGGGAATGATGGGATATGACGCAAGGGTTACGATAAGGTGGGACATCTGCATCTTGGAGTAATTAGAAGGACATAATGAAGACATGTACTTATGCTAATACGGAGCGACTCGAGTGAGCCTTTATGAGAATGACACGAACATTATATGAACATTGTCTATGTTGTATCTACTATAGTAGGTACCTACCTACTAACCCACCTACTAGGTACCTTATCCAAGTAATAACTAGTACGGAGTACCTTGGTGCTCTCATTGTAGGTAAGCCACGATGATCCCCAGATCAGTGCGAGTAACACTACTCGCACTGCCATTTAGTGGGATGCAAACTCGCTACTTGAAGTGGGGCAGACTTAGGGTCTCTCCGCCCACCAAACCGCAAAAATATCCTGACTGAAATTTCGCGAGCCTTGCAACCTCCCACTCCATCACCAATTTCGACGCCGCACGACCCGAGGTACGAGCTCAACGCCAGCTGTTGCAATTGATCTGGAACTTTTTTATACTAACCCAGGCATCATCAATAGGTCCAAGTCTCAACCTTCGCAATGGCTTCGCGACCTACCGTCTCTATCATCGGCAAAGATGGTGCTCCCACTGGAGCTACCCACGCCATTCCCGCCGTCTTCACCAGCCCGATCCGACCGGACATTGTCCAGCAGGTTCACACCGGTATCGCTAAGAACAAGCGACAGCCTTATGCTGTGAGCGAGAAGGCTGGTCACCAGACCTCTGCCGAGTCTTGGGGAACTGGTTAGTACACGATGTCTTTTTCACACAGATTTGTGGTTCTAGAGGGGAAATTTTCTGTGGGCGGGGAGAAAATCACGGAAGTGGACGAGGGAGAGACGACAAATGCCATGGATTGCATGGCGATGAGCAGAACAACAGGCTAACCACATGGCAAACAGGTCGTGCTGTCGCTCGTATTCCCCGTGTCTCTGGTGGTGGTACTCACCGCGCTGGTCAGGCTGCTTTCGGTAACATGTGTCGTTCCGGTCGCATGTTCGCCCCTACCAAGATCTGGCGCAAGTGGCACATCAAGGTCAACCAGGGCCAGAAGTAAGTCTTTTTAATCGACGTTGAGGCTCGTAATTTCAGGGCTAACGTGCAAAACCAGGCGATACGCCGTCGTCTCTGCTCTCGCTGCCTCCGCTGCCGTCCCCCTGCTCCAGGCCCGTGGCCACCAGGTCAACTCCGTCCCTGAGGTTCCTCTGGTTGTCGACTCCGCCGTCTTCGAGGGTGCCGCCATTGCCAAGACCGCTGCTGCTTTCGGTCTCCTGAAGGCTGTTGGCGCTGGTCCCGATATTGAGAAGGTCAAGAACTCCAAGAAGCTCCGTGCTGGTAAGGGCAAGCTTCGTGGCCGACGTCACCGCCAGCGACGTGGCCCTCTTGTCATCTACGACCCTGAGACCGATGGCAAGGAGCTCGTCACTGCTTTCCGCAACATCACTGGCGTCGAGACCTCTCCCGTCACCGCTCTCAACCTCCTCCAGCTCGCCCCTGGTGGTCACCTCGGTCGCTTCATCGTCTGGACCTCTGCTGCCTTCAAGGCCCTTGACGAGATCTACGGTTCCACCACCGAGGCCTCTGCCCACAAGCGTGACTTCCTCCTACCCTCCAACGTTGTCTCTCAGGCCGATCTTACTCGTCTGATCAACAGCTCTGAAATCCAGAGCTCCCTCAACGCTCCCAAGGGCGAGGCTGTCACCCGCCGATCTGCTGTCCAGAAGAAGAACCCTCTTAAGAACAAGCAGGTCATGCTTCGCCTGAACCCTTACGCCTCCGTGTTTGCCCAGGAGGCTCAGAAGAAGCAGAACTAAAATAATTCTCGACTTGCTGGGTGTGCAGCGGGTTAAGACGGAACTAGATGATGGGTCTTGCATGGTTTGATATTGAGGCGTAATGGCTTCTTTCAAGGTTGAGCTCTCTTAAAAATGAATCAGAGATATGATACGAATTACAGCCTGACTCGGCATTGGTTCCACAACTTGATGCTTGTTTGCCGTAACTGTGATCTTGACTTGCTATGTCTGCTTGCAGTGTGATTGTCATAATAGCAGTCGTTTTCGTTTTCATGACTGATACCATATACACATGTGGCATCGAGGTTGACCTGTACAGTGACTACCTAGGTATCTTACATGTTGGTAGCACGGGCTGTTTTTCTTGTTCAATGATCGTCATCCAGCAAATGAAGCTGTTCATCTATTTACTCTAGCTGAGCAACTCTTCGAGTAGCTTCTCAATCTGTGCCGTATCGTTAATCTTGAAGAATTCAGCCACAGATCGTGCAAATCTGCTTGAGCCGTCGTCAATATTCTCGTCGCTCTCTGCTGCAAAGCACAGTCGTATATACTGCCAACCACGCTTTTCCCGAATCTCCGGGGTGGCACTGAACATGCTACCCGGGCTGCCCAGCACCAGATGAGGTGCATGTGTACTATGGATCAAAAATGCATTTGCCAATGCGGTGCCATCAATAACAGGAGCAATGTTACCCCCTTTGGACTGGTAGAGAGGGTGCTTCTCGAAGTGGACACGCACCCAGACGAACATGCCTCCACGGGGCCAGTCAAAATCGAACAGGCGTATCTTGCTGACAACTTCGGAGTCCAAGTCTGGGTATTGGGACGTTGGCTGCCTCGGAGAAAAGGCATTCTTCTCAAGGATAGAGCACATTCGGGTCATGCGACGCTCGTACTCTCCACGAAGTCCCTCAAGCCATCGGACCCAACCATCAAGCTGCCAGCCAGTGAACGAGGGTTTCTCTGATTCCGGGAGAGAGGAGAATGTCTCAAGAGTTGATGAATGGGGGCCGAGAATGGCTTGAGCAATGAGTGCTTGGACAAAACCTGAGGGCTGGCCAGTGCTGGTCTCTGCGATCCTATTCATCGAAAGTCAGCCTTTAAGATATCGATTACTGAGATACAGAGTAACATACCTAGTAAGACGCTCGATGAATGCGGGTTGCGCAGTGACATAACCCAATCGGGAACCAGGAGCAACTGTCTTGGAAAAGGTATCGAGACGAATGACACGGCCGTCAACATCAATGCTAAGATATGATGGAACAAGCGAATCTATAAAGTCGTACCCAGATGACTTGACTGTCTTGTGTGAATCGGCCACTGAGGGGATAGCATAGCCCCTAGCTTTGGCTTCGTGTATCGCAGCGGAAGGGAACTGGAGATACCAATACGGATCATCTTCAACAATGATGATGTCGTACTTGCTTGCCAGCGCGTAGACCTCCTTTCGTCTCTGAACGCCTACAACACCACTGGTAGGGTTGTCTCCCATCCTGTATTTAGTGGTCAGTATACGAGCGCGTTCTTACTTAAGCCAAATTACTCACGTTACCGTGTATAAGAAATGTGGCAGTCGTCCGTTTTGAGGATTCCAGTTCTCGAGCACTTCTCGCAAACCACCAGATCCTTCGACTATCATACCTTCCTCGTCAATCTCAACTGGAACGACATTGACTCCAAGAGGCCGAGCTTGAGTAAGGATGTTACCAAACACAAAAGTCTCACAGAGCATGCCCGGCCGCTCTTCCACGGGATGCAACCCCTCATACCAGGGGTCAACCAGGAGCTGAAGGACCTTTGAGAACCCATCGGTGCCGCCATTGTTGAGAATGACATCCGCGCCACCTTGGTATGGAACGTTTGGGTGAAGTACTTGGTTCGTGAACTGCCTAATGAAAGAGTGCAGCGGCGGGTAGCCAGTCACCTGTCCATACTGAAGGGCAGTGGCAAGGTCAACCTTCTTAGTTATGTCTGGCTCGTTTAGAATCTTGGGTATAGAGATCCTAGACGATGTTTTCTTGTAATCTGGATTTCTCGGGGCGTTTTTGTCCGGACTGTTGCTATGTCCAATAACACTGCCTGACAGAGACTCAGTTGGTGGCTCAACCTCGTCAGGGTAATTCGGCGATGGCTCCCAACGGTCCGCGTTGGATATCTGAGCTTCCAAGGTATCGAAGGGGAAATATTTGACATTGGGCATTCCTACCAGCCGTGTTAGTACGGACGTGTAAGACGGAGGCTAACAATCAAGGTTTCGGTGCCTCGGCGCCGGAATCGTCGATCACCGAGACCGAGTGCTACTTACCTCCAGCAAAATTGCTGATGCCCGGAATCTGCATGAATTTGTAAAAGGCCTTGATATTGCTTGGCTTGCGATTTCTAGTCACTTTCGAGAACAGGTGCGACAGGTCTTTGGGTGGAGGTAGAGCTTGGAGAGCCGTCGCAGCTTGCGAAGCTCGGGCTGCAGCATCAGTTGCGGATGGTGCCATTGCCAAGATCAAGACCAGTTGATTTTTCAGAAATTGTTGTGTTTCCAGGGAAGAACTTGATGGATGTAAAGGCAATCAATATGTAAGAATGAAAGAACACAAGCAGATAAAATAGAGGTTCTTTTCCCCTCTTCAAGTACCCTTGACGATTCTTCGCGTATCTCTAACCGGATGTTCTAATGATAAGGCAGACCAACTATTGCCCTGAATGGGTTGCACCAGACCTGTTCAATCGCATTCCCGATGGCCGAATTGCCCCAAAACGTTGGATCCATGGTCCTTCCGACTGCATTACAAATCCAACCCCGACTCCCGCCATTCTAACCCACCATCACAACATCATTGCACTCGCACCATCCCCAAAGACCCCATAGTTTGCCGAATCGGATATGGAGTGAGTGGGAACCACCACCAACGGTTTGCTTTACAGTCTGAAGCCCTTGTCCTAAGCATCCTATCACATCGTCTGGGGTCAAGAGGATAGTGAATCGTAAAGTCCTAGACAAATGGCGAAACTACATTGCGAATTTCCGTAATACCTCGTCTTTCAGTCTTAATCAGAGCTCTTCTCCCCTTTCTCCACATCAGGTTGAGCTCCAGGCTCATAGTGAAATCCAATTTCCTCAAAGGTCTGAGCCTTGCAGCCTAGTTGTTCGAATCTGGCCTTGGCTTTGAGGAACATGCTGCGCTGCCACATGAGCTCATCATTCCAGTAGGGCGGCTCTTTTCCTGGCCGCTTGGCCTCCATAATCCAATCGTGCAATTTGTTGATGTAGTAGCCATCTCCGTTGGGACCAAACACATGTAAAGCGTCGCCTTCCTGCTTCTGCAATGCCTGACTCCAAGCTTCCATGGCTTCCCGAGAAGGGAGCTCAATGTTATTAGACCACACAGCTGAAAACAGAGCTGCTTGGCTCTCACTCAACGGCCAAGGGGCTGCTTTCATGTTGAGACCCGGGAAAACGAGGGTTGGATGCTGAATATTGAAAACATGTTGGTACAATCCATGCACACCTCGGCCTGTGGTAATGAGCTGGTGGCCTAGATCCCCAAGAAATGGGAAGCTAAAGAGGAAGCCGGTGCAGAAGATGATGGCGTCAATATCCGTCTCAACTCGGCCATCCTTGAAACGGATTCCCTTCTCCTCAACCAAGAACTCCTCAACCTCTGCTGTTTCCGTACATCCAGAGTGAGCTAGTCGATCTGGGGGTGTAGGATGTCGCACTGACAAGATCGCAGGCTTTCTACACTCCTGATTGATCTGCAAAGCAATGTCGAGCCCAGACGGGCCATTACCAATCACAACTACCTTGCTGTCTCTAAATGGGTAGGGAGTGCGATACTGTTTAGAGTGCGTAATTACTCCGGGGTACGCCTCGTTAAACTCTTTCAAGTTCTTCATATTAGGCAGATATGGTATAGAGTAGTGACCGTTCGCAACGACCAAGGCATCAAAGGTATCCGTGGTTATCTCGCCACTATTGATAGTCGATTGTGTTTCAACTTCCCATCTGTCCCGACCATCTCGCACTGTCATAGTCACCCGCTCGACACGTTGGCAAAAACGAATTAGGGGTTTGACATCATCTGCATAGTTGACCAGATAGTCCTCGATCATAGGCCTCTCGGGGAAGAGCTTCGAGTCCTCGGGAAAGGCTTGGTCGGAAAATCTCATGACTTCTTTTGGGATATTGGCGTGTAGATTCTCGTACATCGGCGAAGTGAAAATCGGAGCTGATGTCGAATTCCATCTTATGGGGTTTTCAGGAGGGCAATGAGGATCTTCTTGAGGCACAGGACAAGTTCCTGGGGCTAACCCATAGTATCGCCAAATGCCGCCAACATGGTCTTGCTGCTCGAAGATAGCAATGTCTTCAAAACCCTGCGCAATGAGATATTTCGCTGCCGCAAGTCCAGTAGGACCGGCCCCGATGATTGCGATTTTGTGGACGTCGAAAGACGTCGGCTGAGTCAGAGAGCCCATATTGTGCTGTAAGAGATGAAGCAACTAATGAGACAGCCTCCCGTCGTAAGCATGAGCCGATTCTTCACTGGTGTAAAGTTGTGAAGCAGGAAAGATAAACAGCACATCAACGAGTTGCCTAGGTAGTAGTCAAATTCTTCAATGGACAAGCCTGGGAAGAGTCATCAGCTTTCCCTTGCCATCGAGATACGCCTAAACCTGAGTGGGGGGGTAGGGGCCATTTCGACTTTGACCCGACTCTTTTTACTGCTTCTGTTAAGTCACAGTAGTTTCGGTGCTTCCCATTGGAAGTCCTGGCCTGTTGTCGGCCCCAGAGCCGCATAAGAGCCGCCGTCTAACACCCGGCGATTTTCAACAGCACTTCAGTGATAGACTGATAGGGTTGACCCCGGGGTGCAAAGAAGACTTCTAACGTTAATTCAGGTGTCAAAATTACTTAGTTCAAGATTCTCTTAATCTATACTAAATTATACTAAGCTTATCCAAGCTTACCCAAGGCTTCTTGTCACTCAAGATAGAGGTCCTCGGTTTTATTGCATCCCCATGCTAGACCGCGATCCCTTGACCGCCTTCTACTTTCGGACCTATCCCCACCACAGCTTCCTCCTTGCTCGGAAGCTTGCATATCGATTTCATTGTTCCAACAACAATTCACAGGTCCACGAGCAAATCAGCGCCTCGCACACGCTTAACAGTAGCTTGACCTAACGGTAAAGACCTACGAGATGCGACAACCATAAAATCATAGAAACAACAGATAAAGCTGTCGCATATGGTTTAATACAGCAACACAATCCCTCTGGCTTTTCAGGTCCCGCCGACGCGACTGACATTGCGACCAAACCACGATGAACAACTCGCAACCCAAAGCATCACCACTCGACCAGGGCGAACATATATCAATCGCCCAGCTCAGTCCGGATGTCTCAAGTCAAGACGCACGAGTTATAATTGGCACCGTAACTATCACATGGCCATTTAGCATCCTCAACAAATCTATCGCATTTCTCCTAGCTGAGCGAGACTTTCGACTCCGGCGCGAGAATGGCCAGGTGCGGATCCGTTTCCATGGTGCAGCCGCTAGGGTGATCGCAGATGCATCGCTGGGAGCAGGGGATGAGGTTCGTGTGAGCCTGCAGGGTGTCAAGTGGGAGAAGAACGAGACGCAGACTCAAGTCGCAGGAAGCACTCTTGCGTGGCAGCTCGAATTCTCAAATCGCTTGTTAATTGGAATCCGTCGACCCGGAGAAGAACAAGACACGTTGCTCACTATTGACGCCCCAGACGCGGAGACGGGAGTTACTACTACCAACGGCCAAATTGATAATACTGACCAAGTCGACACCCTCACATCCGTGCCCGAACGACCTGCTACACCTACGCCTTTGTCTCCAGAAGCCACCTTGCCTCTGAAACGAACTGCTTCATCGAATTTGGATCCTCTTGAATTCGCTTCGCCTGCTTTCCTCAAACGAGCGCGTGTCTCTTACGGTGCATTATTCGAAGGCGATATAGACATGTTAGATGACGAAGTTGGCAGGGCCAAGTCGAAAAAGCGTACACGGTTCAGTCTACCTGCCAACTCTTGGCGTTACACTAGCCGATCCCCTAGTCCTGAGCCCGAGAATGATCATGAAGAGGAAGATAAAGAGGAGTCCTATGTGAGCAGTGTCTCACAGCGCAATGGCGAGACAGAAGATACTACCGCGAACACACCGCCGCGACCGGCGATGGTTGACCAAGGCAGTCAAACAGTATATGTTGACTTTACTCCAATGCCCAGTGTGCAGGTTCTGGCTGAATGCAGACCAGCGTTTGGGTTGACACAGACGACTCCCACACCATTTACCCGAACGAGACAGTTTGAGAGGGACGACTCTCTTGTGAACCAGTCTTTACCGCTCGCAGGGAACTCGACAACACCACAGGGGATGCCACAGGGGACAGACGAATATTTACTGGGTCGTACCCCAAGCAACATTAACACCGATATGGCTTTCAGCTTCCCCCCACAGACCGTACTCTTTCCTCAGGCCACGGGTTATTTTCCGGAAGAAAATGCTCGAAATATTGGGGCGGATTCGCCTAGTTCCGTTCCAGGAGAAGTACTGGGAGATTATCCAGCTGAGTTCCTGGAGACTGAAAATCTCCCTCAGAATGCTATAGAAGCTCTTGCGGGTCTCGCTGGGCATGAACCAGCATTTCACTCTACATTCGCTGCAACTTCGCAGCCAACCCAGACTGCTTGGGCTGTAGGATCATCCCCTGGACCCCGCTCTGTAGTTGCTAGTAGCGACGCTGAGAATCCAGTCGAAATCTTGAGCTCTTCGCCACTAAGGGAACAAGGGTCGCCGGAATCTAGTAGAGACCGCCAGTTATCTCCCTCACGAGAGAACACGGATATGAACACAACCGCAAACGTATCTCCAGAACCCACACTCGAGGAACCGGCCAGTGAAGCAGAGTACTATCGCGATGGTGGTGATGAGCCTGGCGATGATTACGACTTAAGGAAGTACTCCCGCACGCACGATGACGATGACGATATAGAGACATCCGAAGAGGAACCCGATCTCGATACCAATGACCCTGATACACAAATCATGAACCCCGACGAAGATGACGCGGATCGCGATGAAGATGTCTTAAATCAAGAGGAATATCTTGACGACGAATACCCTGACACGTACGAACAACGATCTGACATTGAAGCAGAAGAATACGAAGGGTCGGAAGTGGATGCTGAAGGTGAATATGACTCGGATGAATATGATTACTATGACGAAGATTGCGCAGAAGCGGAAGCAGACACCCGCCCTTCTGCTACCCTTGCTTCTAGGGAGCCCATTGTCATCGACCTCCTTTCAGATTCCGAAGATGAGGAAGCGCCCGCACCAGAACCAGAACCAGAACCAGAACCAGAACCAGAGACAACAATGGGTGTAGAGGTCAAAAATACAGACGGCAACTCAGCACTTGACACAGAAGAGGCGGAAACACCACCAATGTCCAAGATAGAAGAGGATTCTGAAGTACCCGAAACAGATGAGATTATGGCTGAAGAGGAAAGCCAGTGTCTGTCGCGGTTCGACACGGACGAAGAACCCCTGCCTTCATCAAGCAAGGGCGGCAAGCAGGAAATAGAGATACAAACGGTTGACAGCGGCCAAATGGGTTCAATGGATGAGGGCCAAGTCCCTACATCTCATATTGAAGACTCAACCAAAAATGAAGCTGAAGCTACCGAGGCCACCATTTGTACAAACAAGCAAAGGGGTGACAGTGAGATCATAGACAAAGCAAAGTCGCCTGTCCCTTCAACTACCCCTCGGGAGTCTCCCATCGCAGAAGAATTGCAATCCCATGGTTACGAAGCTGGAGAGGAATCAAATCCAATGGAAACGGAAGCATGCGATATCGACATGGGGAATACCCCTCCACTGCAAGAAGCAAAAGGGCACGAGACAAAGGATATTGATTCTGCTCAGTCTGCTGCGACAAAATCGCTAGACGAGACTGCAGTTGAGCCTGAAGTGACGGTCGAAGCCATGGAGATTGATGAACTACCATGCAAACCCACTCCAACAGCAGAAATTCTTGAGGCCAACGATGATACTAGCAAACAAGCAGACACCGCGACCACGGAAGCTCCTTGTGAAGCATTAACACACTCCCAAGAACCATCCCAACAGCCACAAGAGGCTCTGTACGATGATGCAAGATCGTTAAATTTCCACAAAACCGTACCGTTACCCAGCGAGAGTCAATCTGTGGCTTTCGAGATTCAGGAAAATATAGAATCCCAGACATCCCAAGATCTTGAACATTCTGAACCGCATGAAAACATATCGGACCGCTTGTCAGAGATGGCTACTAACCCACCTTCTCACACGATGAATGCCTTGTACCAAGCCGACAGGGGTGAAGTTGAGAAGGCAAGCGATGAGGCACTGCCTGAAAATGGTGGTCAAATTTCCCCTCCACCAACGCAGAACCCAGAAGTCCAGACCCCGCCGGAAGACAGCATCAAATTCTCACAAAACAATTCTGTTGAACATCTTCCCTCTCCTGGCGGCACACAACAGGTGATTGAGGTCGAAACAGTCGACACCCTTAGTGTCGTCACTCATGCCCACCAGATAACGGAGGAGGAGGAAGGACCAGAGGATCAGATCATGGCCGAACTATTACAACAGTCTCCCATGCGATCCGAAACACACCTTCCTATGGATCCTGCTTTGTCCACGGTATTGTCGCAAACTAAATCGCCTGAACCCACTGGTCCAGCTGATAGGTCACTCGTAGGATCTTCCCGAGACACTGAGGCAGCATCTGAGGTCATTGTCGCCAAGTCTTTGCGACCTCGACGACACAGGCCAACTAAATCATCAGGTGGCCATGACCACGACGATCCTAGCCTGGCTTTTATCACAGCCACGTCCACCTTGAAGACCACGGACCATGGAAGTAAGCCTAGCAGTCCAACCACATCAAACAGCAAGACACGAAGTAAAACGCACCACGATGATCCGAGCATCCAACTGGCAGGTGGCTCCATACAGGCAGATACAAAGAGCAAAGGGAAGAGAAAGGCAACCGACGATGAGAGTATTCACAGCGTGGACAACAATTCACCAGGATCCCAGCGAGTGTTGCGTTCGAGAAACGACCACGGTGACCCTAGCATATTGCTTGCGAAAGGTTCAAGTCCATCGACTCGCCAGACTAGAAGTCAAAAGACGCCAGATCCAAAGCGAGAGACCCCTAGGCGTGAAACTCGCTCGGTGTCGCGAAGTTTTCATCGGCAGGATGAGTCCCCGAATATGTCGTTCGCTTCGCTTAAATCACCTTCCATAGCTGGCTCTACAGCGACTGTGCCTGAAGAAGAGGATGTCAAACCTCTGAAAATGCAGCTGGTCAAAAGCCTGCGGACGAATCTGCCCGACTTTCTGTCGCTTAAGATGCTCAGCAGAAACTCAATCGACAAGACGACGGATATT